AAAAGTTTAAAAAAACAATTTCAATGAATAAGAAAAAAAAAAAAACAACTCTGTACCTGAATCCTAACTGTGGCCCTATGTGTAGATTTCTGCCTTCTTCCTGACATGTTGCTCATGTCCATCATATGCTGGCATTCCCCAGCTCTTAGCTCCTCATTTTATGCTCCCTCCTGAGATCTGCTCTCAGTCTCAGATGGCAGCCATTTTGGTTCAGCCTTAGCCTTTCTCCTGGCCCATCTCTAGTGGCCCCACCAGGCCCAGATCCCTCAACAGTGTGAGACGCCATCACTGGCCCTTTCCTCGAGGCGGAAGAGGACACACTTACAACATCTGTCTTATACACTTTGTACATGCCTGTCTCCCCCAGGACATCACAAGCTCCCCATCAGAAGAAACTGCTTTCCTCATGTTTGTATGCAGCAGATTCCCAGCACGGTGCCGGGCAAGCAACAGACATTCAAGAAGGGAGGAATGATGCTACCTTCACAATGTGTTCGACAAAACATGTGCCAGTGTCAAAAGAACAGAAGGGGTAGTAGAGACCAGGCCAGAGGAGAGGGATGCTTTTATGCTCCTCGTTCTGAACAAAATGGATTTGATTATATATGTCTGAAAGGCTTCAATGTTTTGCTTTGTTTCCGGTGATTTTGCCTACACTTGACTTCAAACATCCCTCTGCCAGGTTCTAACTAAGGTACCTTTTGCTATAATTATCTGATTACCAGAGAGATTAATAACCTTTTCAGCTTGGCTCATAAATCACAGAGTTCTACAAGTGGGAGATTTTCAAAGAAGAGGCAAAATCCCATTGCTTAGTCACTCTATTGTCTACTTGAATCAGTTTTAGAATCTAACAGCACTTCATGTTCAAAGGCATATAAAAGTATTGACTTTCTTTGAGATGAACATTATGTTCTAATGACCAAAAGTGATAAATATTGTATTGAATGAAAGTAAGACAAGCCCAGTATTTCAAAAGACTATAAATCTTTATGTTTTCCCAAATGAAAATACATTCCTATTTTATTACCAGAGAACAATTTGAAAGATTTAAACCACTAAAAAGACCAAGTAATATTATGTCTGGTAAAAGAACATGGGTATAATTGTACCCGGCAGGGTTTATGGCCTGAAGAAGTTGATATTAAAGAAATGCAGAGTGGGCATCAGATTCAGTTGAGAACCAAAAGGAGAGACTACCAGAGGATGCCCAATGTAGCACCAGATTGGGAAATCCTAGGGAGGCTTCTAAGGACAGTAACCAAAGATTATTCACCTGAGAAAGTTGGTATTTTACTAGACAGAAAACAGTGGCTGCTACAATTCTCTTTGAATCTGTTTTCAACAATCCAGACTGAATGACATCTTATTGCTTACTACCTGAACCACTTAGAAAGCTTAAAATTTAGCTAGGAGTCTCCCTCCTAGCTCACCCTATCATTCCCTTCCCTACTCTTACATCTTTGGCATTACTAAAGAGAATTCTATAAGAATCTGCACTGGGGCCCTTTTTTTTTTAAGATTTTATTTCTTTGACAGAGAAAGACACAGCAAGAGAGGGAACACAAGCAGGGGGAGCGGGAGAGGGAGAAGCAGGCTTCCCGCGGAGCAGGGAGCCCCATGTGGGGCTCGATTCCAGGACCCTGGGATCATGACCTGAACAGAAGGCAGACGCTTAGTGACTGAGCCACCCAGGCGCCCTACACTGGGGCCTTTTTGAACCTAATATTTCTCATTTCAATTGGTGGCACCATAGGACCAATAGCATGCTTTAGTCAAGTAATTCTAGAATTGCCTCCAGATGCCTTTCCAAAATTCATAACTAATTTTGCAGAAAGATGGCCTATCACTCTCTTAAGCTTTTAAGAAAAAGAAGAAAAATATAAAATATATCAGAATGACACAAGGGAAGAACAGGCTTACTTTCCTTAGCTCCAATTAAAAAAAAAAAATCCCTGGGAAGAACTCTGACTTGGGTCGTGCACCCATCTTCGAGGATAGAAGGACTCAATACTATGTGATTGGCAGTTCCCACTAGAACAAAAATTTTCATGTCAGAAGAGCAATAGGTTCTCCCCTCAAAAAAGCATGTTATTCCCAGAAAAGACCAAAAATAGATTTGTTCCATAAATGCATGTTGCAGGGTTTGGGGGATATAATTAATACATCCCTCTTGAATTGTCTCTGACTTTGGAACTGATTGAGAGATAAATGCAGGTATTCAATGAACAGAGGTTAAATTACCTGTGTTTAGGCTAAATTGAGGGAATTGCTCAGATCTACAGCCAGTAACTAGTTACCTTATATCTGACCCCATGTCTAGATCTTGGGATTACAAACCCCAAGGAGATTTTGGATCTTCGAAGCAGATTTGCTAACCCAAAACAGCTGCCTCCCACCAACAAACTTCACAGTGAAGACAGAAATAAATGTTTTATGTAATGATGTTATCATCGTATGAGCATCATATAAATGTAAAGATGGATATTTACAAAGAAATATCATTCGTTCATTCAGTAAACATATAATGAATATCTCCTAGGTGCCAGGCACTGTTCTTGGTGCTTGGCAAACATAAATGAACCAGTCAAAGACCCTGCTCCTGTAGAACTTAATTCCTAGGAGTAAAACAGAAACTGATGGATATGAAAGAGAGAAAGAACATACTAGAAACAACAATCACTAGATAGTAAAGAATGAAGAAATAGAGTAAAATTAACTTGCTAAAAATCAAATCATGAGTTTAGGAATTCACAGTATAAAATAAACAAATCCTGGGAAAAGAAAAGTTGGAGAATTTGACATCTCTCAGAACACTAGGAAAGAGAAATTTTCAGTAAGGGAAACCAAGGAGCATAATTAGAAAAGGCAGTGTAAGAATCTTCATATTGGGTATCATGTCAGTCAGAGTTCAAACAATGAAGCAGAACCAGTAGGAGATACATATTAAGAGATTTGCTGAAATGAATTTGCTTCTGTGCCCATAGGAGCCAGCAAGGCAAGTCTGAAATCCATGGTGGGCGGGGGGGGGGGGGGGGGCTTGTCAGGAAGGGCACTGGCTGAAGCTCCATTCCACAGACAGGATTTCTTCTCTCTGAGCAGCCTCAGTTCTGCTTTTAGGACATTTCAGTGGATTGAATCAAGCCCACCCAGATTATCTAGGACAATCGTCCTTCCTTAAAATCAACCGATTATGGACTTTACAGCTACAAAATACCTTCACCACAACACCTTAACTAATGTTTAATTGAGTGACTGGGAAAGTAGCCTAGCCAAGTTGACATGTAAAACTGACCATTGCAGGTGTGAAGACAAAAAAAAAAAAAAAAAAAGGACCCTACTTCATCAATGACTGAGAGAGAGTGAAATAGTTCATGAACAGAACAGATGAAGCCCATTTCCCAACCAAGTGAAGGGGCTACCTTATTAGTATATGTCTACCATGTCACCCAGAAACCTACCTGTTAACTGTAACGGGTTTGAGGTTATTATGGAACACGAACCGTGAAGCCCACAAACCTATCACTCACTTTACATAAACCAGAGTGGTCAGAGGCCCTAACAGTTCTTCTACGTAAGCTGTAGCCTCTACTCTCTGTTCTCACATCATACCTCAAGTTCTTGTCTTCCTTCCTTTGCCATATTCTTCCTTTCCCTGAGAAGAGCCTCACTATCTCTTCCCCACCACACTCACTATACGACCACCATGTAACCTATCTTAACTCTTGCTGGACCTCTCACTGTCTAATGTGTATAGTCATTTCTCATACGCACCTTATCTCCTCTCCCAGACTGTAACCTCTGTGAAGACAAGTGCCAATTCTTATTTACCGAGGCATATACGGCACATAGCGGAAACCCAAAATAAGTTTCATGAATAAATAATGAGCAACTGAAAGAAGAACTATAAATGATACCTTTTAAACAATGACTAAGATTTCGATAGAAAAACTCAAAAAGCCTCTAAATAATTGATAGGAAGTGTCCAGCCAACTCAAGAGTTAACATTTAAACGATCTTTAAGTTTGCAGAATGCCTTGGCGTCTCCTGCAATATTAATGTTGCAATTGAATGACACAATTAATTTTTGACCAACTTTAAAAGAAGAAAAGGAAAACTATGAAGTCAGAGTGTTGCAAAATTAATTCAAAATAGCGACTCACTTTTAGACTTAGAAACAAACACAACATACCTTTTAAGGAAAATTCAACAGCTTTTCACTGCATTATTGGTACAGGACTAGTATCTGGAGTAAATAACAATTTCTTATTAAAGTTACCACTGAATCTATATTGAATTTACTTTTTCATTGTCAATCACGCTTTCGAAACTGATATCAGTGGGCATTGTTAATGCAAAGGGCAAGTTTGATTTTATTTTTCAAGAGCAAAAAATGTTTCTATATCTAGTGTTATTACATTAGAATTAGAAAGAGGAGAAGAGTAGTAGGTGCTCGTCCAAAAATAGCTTCCCTGTGGGACTCCCTGTGACCTGAAATGCTCACCATGCAACTAACTATTGGACCGTGTATCTGTATAGTTCTCGAATATTTATATTTTCCTGATTATAAAAGCACTGTATATCCATTGCAGAAAACTCAGAAAAACAGAACAAAGATAAGAGTCCGTTTACTTCTCATGACCAACTTTCCCTAACTTTGCCCTCAGCCTTGGTTGAGAAGCTCTTCTTGCTCACTGTCCCTCCCTTAACAATCAACATCCAAGTCTCAACCATAAAGTGAAACCAATTATTCCCGAAGGCTTGACACATGACAGGGGTAACTAAGAGTCCTACAAGCAGTAGCTTCACCCACAACAGCCAGGGCTCCAAACCCAACTCAGCGTTCCTCTACCTTCCTCCTGCAGGCTCTCCCACCAGGGAGAAAGCCACACAGTCTCACACTAGACACACGTCTAGATTTAAATCCAGTTTGTGTTAATTAGGCTTATAGTAAACTCAATTTATATTCTGAGGTAAATCTCCATTAAGAAAAGAAACCCAGCCTCTCTCCCATGGGACTGTGAAGGGTCCCTTTTATCCTCAGCCACGGCTGGAGGCCAAGACCAGCCCTTGAGGATCATTGCCCGGGCCGCCATGAGCTGGCAGCCTTGTTTTCCAGCCCCAGACGTCTGTAGGTGCCGGGAGCCCCCACTTGGTCTACCCCAAGCCTGCTGGTCCCATAGCCAGACTAGGGTCTGAAGGGGCAGCGCTGGGCATGGGACCTTTAGCTCTCCTTGGATGGTGTCAGGCTCTCATGAGCTGATCCTAGCCTGTGGTGCTCCAAAAGTAGCTTGGCTCCCTGCCTGCCCCCCAGGTTACACCTCACAAGTAAACTCACCTCAACAGGGTCCCACAGAGAATTGTGAGGTGCGGGGTGGTGAGGAAGAGCCGGGAGTGGGTGCTGGATAAGAAAGTGTGCTGCGGGCATCAGGGCAGCGAGGTCAGACCAGGTGCAAGCCTTGCTTCTAGGTTAGCCATGTCTGCGGACGGGTTGGGCCCCACACTTGCAAGTGGGAAGTTGTCTTCGTTGAAGTGCCAACTTCCACCAGCTGACAAAATACTGTTTTAGGAAAGTTTTCAAGTTTTAACAGTTTTTCTTCACTAACAAAAGTTCTGAAAGCATCTTATTTTGTTCTAAAAGCAATAAACCACTTTTTGTTCAACCATAAAAAAAAAAAGAAAAGAACCCCAGAAAGTTCCAAAAAGTAGACCATCCATGGCAAGCACAGGACTCTGGCTGCTCAGAAGGGTGGTCCGCCTGAGTTGGGCCCATGCAGGAAGGAAGGTGGCACAGAGAGAGAAGGCTTATTGGGGAGGCGAGGGGGTTTGGGAAATGCCAAAAGCATCGCTGGGGGAGGAAGGAAGGTGCATGATGGACAGGCTGAGACTCTCCATTATTTTGCCTGCCTGGGAATGGCCCGAAATGCCCTCATACGTATATCTGACATCCCTATATTTTAGAACACAGAAATGGAAACCTTAAAAAAAAAAAATTGCACCTGGGCAGATGGCCATTTATAACTTGTCTCCTGGGGGAGATTCTTACTCACTGGGTCAGCAACCTGAGTCAGCGCTGAAGAAAACATGGCCATCTGAAGTGAATACCAGATTGAGAATAATTGCTCCCCTGGGGCCTTGCAGATTTGCAAAGTGACTAGGAGTCTACATGCGTCTAACTTGGGGAAACAAGAAAAGCAGACCAAAAAAAACTGAAAACACTGACATTTCCCATTAGAACACTGATCATGATAGGCTTCATTTAAAAATTTTTTTTTTTTAATTCTGAAATGATCTCAAAATTTAAAGAGAAATTGCAAGTACAATTTTTTTCCCCTGAAGTATTTGAGTGCAGGTTGCTGACATGATGCCTTATCACTGCTGTATCCTATATATATATATATATATATATGTATATATGCCCTTATATATATATATATATATATAAAATCTCCTATATATAAGGACATCCTCTTACATATCCACAATTCAATCAAGAAATTAACACTGGTACATTACCGCTTTATTTTTTAGAGCAGTTTTAGGTTCACAGCAAAAAGTTCAATATACCCCCATTCTCACACACATGCACAGCCCCCCTCATAGCAACATCCCACACCAGACTAGCACCTTTGTTATAATCCATAAACTTTCACCGACACATCATTATCACCCCTAAATCCATAGTTTACATTAGGGTTCACTCTTGGTATTCCATGTTCTATAGGTTTTGACAAATGTATGATGATATATACTCACCATTAGGGTGTTGTACAGAATAGTTTTGCTGGCCTAAAAAATCCTCTGTGCTCCACCTACTCATCCCTCCCCCCAGCCCCTGGAAACCACTGATCTTTCTACTGTTTCCATAGTTTTGTCTTTTCTGAAACTGTCATAGAGTTGGAATCATATAGTATGGAACCTTCTCAGAGTAGCTTCTTTCCCTTAGTGACACCTTTTCAAGTTTCCTCCATGTCTTTTCATGACTCGACAGCTCATTTATTTTCGGCACTAAATAATATTCTACTGTCTGGATGTACCACTTTATTCATCCATTCATCTACTAAAGGATCTCGGTTGCTTCCAAGTTTGGGCAATTATGCATTAAACTACCGTAAACATCTGTGTGCAGGGTTTTGTGTCAATATAAGTTTTCAACTCTTTTGGATTTTCAACTCTAAGGAGTGCAATTGCTGGATCATGTTGTAAGAGTGTGGATAGCTTTATAAGAAACTGCCAAACTGTCTTCCAAAATGGCTATACAATGTTGTACTCTCACCAGCAACAAATAAGAGTTTCTATTGCTCCACATCCTCATCAGCATTTGGTGTTGTCAGTGTTCTGGATTTTGGCCATTCTAATAGATGCTTAGTGGTATCCCATTTAACTGACATCTTTTCATATGCTTATTTGCCATCTGCATATATCTTCTTTGGTGAGGTGTCTGTTAAGGTCTTTGGCTCATTTCTTAGTTGGGTTGTTTGTTTTCCTATTGTTGAGTTTTAAGAGCTCCTTGTATGTTTTGGATAATAGTCATTTATCAGATACATATTCTGCAAATATTTTCTCCCAGTCCGTGACTTGCCTTTTCATTCTCTTGAGGGACGTGAATTTTCATTGACATTTGAACTTCTCTTTTTGAAATTTTGTTTTGCATTTTTCTATAATGGACCACTTTTTATTTAGGATGTGTTATTTAATATCTGAAACATGAAAAATATAGAACACATATGTAAGTTATGAAGCAAAACATTAAAACAAATCACTCTAAACTCATAACTTAAGATCTAGAGTATTGCCAAGACGCTTACATCTTCACTATCTCATGCTTTCCTATGTTATTTCCAGGGGATCCACCTGGGTCTACCCCTCACTCAAAAGCAATCATTGCCCTAGATTGTGCATTTATTTCTGCTTTAAAAAATAACGTAGCCATATGTAGGGAATATAACTTTTAATTTTGTTTGCCTTAAAGGTTTATAAAAATGGTGGCATATTAAAATTGTTTACACGGCTTGCTTTTTTCACTCAATATAATTTTTTTTAAGATTTGTTGAAGTTTTTCAATGTAACTATATTTCATTCATTTTCTCTGCTATGTGCTATTTCACTGCATAAAATACACAACAGGGCATATTTTTCTTATCAGTAGCCATTTATATTAACTTCATTTTTTGATATTGCAAACAATGTCGTAAAAGGAGTCTATATGCACACCTCCTGACATAGGAGCAAAAAGTTCTCTAAGTGTAGTCTAACAATGGAATTGTTGCCACACGGCCAAAGTGATTATAGCAGTTTACAATTTTTTTAATTATATTCAGTTAGCCAGCATATAGTACATCATAAATTTTTGATGTAGTGTTCAACGATTCATTAGTTGCATATAACACCCAGTGCTCATCACAATGCAGTTTACACTTTTTTATAACAGCAGTGTGTAAAAAGTATCCATTATTCCGCGTCCTCACTAATAAATGTAAACAGGTTCTTTGCGTCTTCCAATCTAGTGGTATAAAAGTGGTATCTTGTTGTTGTCTGAAATGACATTTTCTGATTAAGACTGAGCAACTTCTCATAAGTTCATTGGACATTTGTATTTCCTTTTCTGTATAATGCCTCTTCTATACGTTGCTAATTTTTCTACCGATTTGACATTCTCTATTTGGTTTATAGTTCTTCTGTATTCTGATTACTAATGTTTGATTTTATACATCATAAATATTTTCAGCCAGTTTGAACTTTTATTTTCATTTTCTTTACAGGGTCTTGGTGAACAAAAGTTCTTGATTTTAATTTTGCCAAATGTGTCGATCTTTTCTGCTATGTTAATACCTTCTGTATCATGTTTAAGAAATTTTTTCTTACCCCCATGTCACAAAATATTTTCCTATATTTTCTCCTACAATTTTTCGTATTTAAGTATTTAGTTTAGTGAAAGGTATAAAGTAGTAATTTAATTTCAGTTTTTATTTAGATAACCAAGTATCCGATGAAACTTAACTAATGGTCAATTTCTTCCAGAGAAATCCACTATGTGTTGCATTATTAGAAAGAAATTTGCATGTGTAAATGACTTTTTTCCATTAGGTAATTTGTGTCTGACCAGAGGCATATGATACTGATTTCCATGGCTTTATCAGAAATCCTCAAATTTGGTGGCGTAAGTCCCTCCATCTTATTCCTCTTGGAGGTATTTTAATATTCCTGGGCTTTTAAATTTTAAGAATCTGCTTGTCAACTTCCCTAGCAAGTTCTTTTGGAATTTTTATTGGAATTGGATTTCTACCTTCAATATTATCTTTACGATATTGTCTTTCAATCCATAAATGTGTATTATCTTTCCATTTATTTATATCTTTTCCAGTTGTCTGCTAATACAGTTCAATAATTTTGTCCATATAGATCACGCACATAATTTGTTACAGTTATGGCAATGTACCTTCCATTTTTGTTGCTTTAAAAAGATATATAGTTTTTTGTTTTTTTAATTAAATTTTTCATTTTGAGATAATTGTAGGTTTACATACAACTATAGGAAATAACACAGAGAAACACTGTATATGCTTCACCTCATTTCCCCAGGTGGTAACATCTTCATAATTACTGTACAATACCACAACTAGGAAATTGATCTTAATGAAATGCATGCATCTAATTCGAATTCCACCAGCTTTATATGCACATGTATGTGTGTTTAGTTCTATGCAATTTTATCACACGTAGCAATTTTATCACCCGTGTAGCCACCACTATGTACAAGAGAGAAAAAAATTCGGTCCCCAAAAGAATTCCTCATGCTCTAAGTTTATAGGGACATCAGCATCCCTTCCTCCCAACTGCTCAACCTCTCTCGAACCCCTGGCAACCACTAATGCATTCTCTCTATATAAAATGTCATGTTGAAAACGTTGTCTGAACACAATCATACAACATATAAACTTCAGGGATTGGCTTTTGACTCTACATAATTTCTTTGAGATTCATCCTTTTGTTGCAGGTATCAATCGTCGCTTCCTTTCTATTGCTGAGTAGCCTGTGATGTAGATGCAGTCATGTTTAGTCATTCACCCACTAAAGGACACCTGAGTTGTTTCCAGTCCGGGGCTATTAGAGATAAAATTGCTATAAACG